TTATTTTTTACTCCTGTGGCAGTGGAGACTTCTGGGGTTATTGGCCGTCGTTCGATGGCGTTCCTTCGAGTATTGGCGCGATCGCGTCTCGATTAAGGGACGAGGCTCGCGAAACGGTGTGGCTCTTGCAGCGTGTCTCACTGGCGATGGTTCGAGGTAATGCTTTCTCCATCATTACAGCTGGCAGAAGATAGCAAAAAAAATTTGTTTATAAATACTTTGTTCAAATTAAAATTTCAAAAGTAATATACATATATATATATATATATATATATATATATATATGAAGAAATATATTCTCGATCGATCAGTCCATAGACTGACTGTCTCGGAACCGGGGATTCCGAGACAGTCAAGTGCTATGGAGGAATAGCATAAGGCAGCGCTGGTGCTGAAATAGACTATACCCACATGAGGTAATTTGGGATTTCTTGGTGTATAAAATATAAGCTTTGTTATAATAAATACATTGGGCTCTCTCTGTGGATCAGTTTTAATATCTGATATTACTATGATCCACCTGGATTATATACTAATGGTTCTATTACCAGTAATGTGTGTGTGTGTATGAAAATATTTTTGAACTATTTAATAGAAAATATAGTATTGATTATTTTGTCCCTTGAATCACCTGAAAATTGTGAGACAATCGTATAACTTCGAATCTGCATTAAACTTTAAGTAGCGAAAAGTCAGCAATATTTTATCGTTTTTTATTTTTTATTTATTTTTTTTTTTCGATTCGATACCTTGGTTCAAAATGGAATTTTTAAAAATGAAAAAGCATTCTTGAAGCTTTCTTTTTAGCTTTAACTGAAAGCTAAATGATTTAATTCACTATTTTCAATAAGTAAAATACTCTGGTGTATTTCAAATAGAAATTATATTGATTAGAATATCAACGTTTTGCTCGCTTTCAGAAATCGTTTAAATTCAGCCATTTTTGAAAAATGTTTAAGTAACATTTAATTTTAATTTAATTCCCCGTTTTAAAAATCTTTAAAAAATAAAATATTAGCTGATTTGAAGTTTAATTAATCTGATCTGATAAGATATTTACTTTAAATTTGAAATACCAGAGAAATGAATTGTTTTTTAAACAGTTGCACGATTAAGTGCTTGTCAATTTCTCGTAAATCACTTGACGAGACGTTGATACTTTTATTGTTGTTCTAACGAAACCTTATCTGTTAAAACACAATTTAAGAAAATGACTGTTGAACGCTTTTTTGCGTAATTTTTAAGTACTCAGTAATCTTAAAAATGTAGGAAAATATTCTCCGTAATTTAGGAACGTTGAATTTAAATTTAATATAGTCAGCGCTCTTATTTTTTGATTATGTCGTGTATGGTCAGTCATACTTTCAAACAGGGACGCGTTTTTATACATAAAACAAATTAATTTTAAAAAAATATTGAGTTAAAACGATTTTTAATGAGCTTTTCAATTTTCGATTCGTAAATATAGTTTTCACTTAATAACAATATCCTCCTTGAAGCAATGCAGAATTTTAAACAATTTATATTATTATGAATTATATGATCATTTTTTTTTAAATGTGAACAATTCTTGTAAAAATTAATTATTCATAAAAAATTACTTCTTCAGACAACAAGTGTCCTTAATAAATCTTATTTCTAAAAATAATTAAAAGCTTTTCTAATTAAATAATCCCATAGTTTTATTGCATTATTTTATTTTACAATTCAGAGCAGATTTTCGGTGGCTAGATGGGGGGGGTTTCTTGTTTTACAATAGAAATAAAATTAAATTCTTCCAGGAATCCCGCTTTTAAATAATAAAACAAATTTTCTCCGTAAAATTTAATTTCTCGCAATTTCATAAAATTATGTAAGTGGTGATGACGTTGAAACATATGCAAAAAAAAATATATATTTTTTACCAAGATATTCTAAAAATAAAAAATTCAAAAATAATTTAATTCATTTCTGAATATATCCTGAAAGTTTCATTAAAATCACGACAATTATTTAAAAATTCAATCAAAATTGCTTTGGTGTTCCCTCTTAATAATGACATTTTGACGATGAAACTTTCTTTTTATTCAGTTTGGGGCCTTTTTTCTTTATGTTCTGGTGGGGTTTTTTTGTTGTTTTTTTGCTTTTTTCAGTGAAAAGCGGGTGAACCTATATATATACTAGCAGTAGAGCCCGGCGTTGCCCGGAAATGTAACAGTAAGAGATAAATCAAGTATCGACCATCATAAAGACTGAAAAATAAAATTGACAAAGATTATTGTTTAAGGTTGACGGACACGCATGTCTTAATTAGTTTTTTCTTTTCTTTTTTTTCTTTTTTTGGGTTTTTTTACGAATAGGTCAAACCCAAACTCAAACAAAAACATTGTTTTCAATCGTTATGAGTCTACCGATTGAATAGAATTTTATTATAAACAATTGTCTTGTAAATGGAATTTTTAAAGCATTCTGAATGTAAAAATAAAGAAAAAAGTGTGCAAGACAATAAGAAACACTACCTGCCAAAAAAAGTTTTGTTGAAATCGGTTGAAAAATGTAGGAAATCTGATCCCATATATATACACACACACACACACACACACACAACCTAGGTTTTATAATAAGTATAACTCGATATGAGTTGTCCCCCTTTCATTCTCGTGATGCCTCTTAATCGTGTTTTCAAATTGATTTTGTGCAAAAACAATTGTGTTTTTCTAATTTTTGGCGCTATTAGAACCACCGCAAGGTAATTTTACGTAGTCCTGTGAAGTTTTGTTGAAATCGGTTGAAAAATGTAGGAAATCCGATCTAATATATAAACGTACATACACACACACAAAATCTGCGTTTTATAATAAGTAAGATATATATATATATATATATATATATATATATATATATATATATATATATATTAAGTTTTGTTATTATTTTGTTTTATTGATAAGGCTTCCATTAATTTTAGACTTTTTCTGCATACGTCGAAATCGACGTGAGAGTTCATCCTATATATATATATTTCAATTAAAAGGTGCAAATATAATTTATAAATTCGTGAATCATTCATACAAAAAACAAATATAGAGGTTAATGATTTAAATGGCGAGAATACATCGTCGCAAACAATTTCAATAAGATACACCAACCCCGAACCTGTATATAAACTCATTTAAGTATTGCATTAATATTTAAGCTTACCTTTTAAAAGTTCAACGATAATTCTTCTGCTGCCACTTAATTTAAAGACAGTTTGATGTACGTAGGTCCTTACTTACCGTACAAAAAAATTACTTTTATTTCATAGGTGACTTTCGCTGGATTTCACAATTAATTTCGATTATTCCCAAAGTCGTCGTACAAATAATTCGGCGCAAAAAAATCGTAAAAAATCGCCGAAAACAATCGTAGTAATGAAAGTTGGGGTTCCAAAATTTCAATACTTTGGTTTGTTAATTTGTTACATATATTAATACAATACACACACACACACATATATTATATATATATATATATATATATATATATATATATATATCCGATGGTTGAGAACAAGTAATATAAATTCCAACGTTCAAAGCATTAATCCAAAGTTGGATTGATGATCCTAAGTTAATTTTTATTTATTATTTTTATCATATAGAAAAAACAGTTTACTCACTACAAAGTGAAACTTCGTTTCATGCATTTCAAAATTTTTCTCATCGTAGTGCATTATTTTTTAGAATGAAAATCTTTTAGTGTCGCGATGGAATCATATTTTAAAAAATATATATATATATATATATATATATATATATATATATATATATATAATAATTTGATCCTAAGTTCTTTTGTATTTTATTTAGGTGAAAAAAAACAGTGCTCAATTTTATAATCATTTTTTTAATTGAATTATTTTTTAGAATGAATCTTTTAGTGTCGCGATGGAATCATATTTTAAAAAAATAATTATAACATATATATATATATATATATATATATATATATAATTTCGATTATAGGTGAAGTTCAATTTATAATTACATGAATCATTCATACAAAATCAAATATAGGGTTAATACATCTTCGCGAAATTGATTTCAAACAATTTCAATAAGGTACAATAACATATCATTCATATACAGGTTCGGGGTTAGTGTACCTTGTTGAAATTGTTGCGAAGATTTCTCCATTTGAATTAAGCTCTATTTTTTTTTGAATATATATATAAGTAGACACTGAAGTCAACATCACATATGACATTTAAAACTGCCTGACTAATCCATGGGTCCTATAGCCTAGATTGGCAACAAGTCTACTGCAGAAAAAAAAACCAACCTACTGCGGGAATATCTTCTGTTTAGTCAGTTATGAATCGAAACAGACATGATCGCCTAAGCGTGTATCGCGTATGGCAGTTGACCGACATATAGATAATATTATTACTATGATTATTATTTTAAATCTAGGCATATAAATATTTTACAAGAATAAAGAGTTTTGTATAGTGCATCTGATCCGAGAAGCCGATAAACTGACGCATTTGAGATGTTGACCACTCCTGTTTATCGACCAACCCCGTTGACCACCCCTGTATCGCACGTATTGTTATGTTGTTTGGCATAATTGGAAAAACTGCACTAATTTTTACCAAATTGTTTTATCCCTGCTGTGTCCCAATTTCGCATAATCTACCATTAGCGTGGCTATGATTGTATTTTAAGATGGCCTTCTCCTCCTCGATGTCAGTTATTAAATATACGGCAATTAAAGCACTCGTTTCTGAAGACTGGTTGAGGGTCCGCTTCAGCTAATTTCTCAAAGTATCCACCGCATTCTTACTATACACCGATTTATTCGAACTTTTGTCCGCATCTCAGTTGTTAAGATACCACCGTTTTGTCCTTTGTACTTTCCAGTATGAATCAACCTCTTATCCCCCTTGCTATGGGTTAATTAGTATAAATGAATCTTTATAATCTCAAGACAAAATTCTTACAATCTAAAAATATTTCCTGGCTTTAAATAACCTACAAATGGATGATAATCTATCTATCTATCTATCTATCTATCTATCTATCTATCTATCTATCTATCTATCTTTCTATCTATCTATCTATCTATCTCCGTCTGTCTGTTCATTTCTTTATCTATTTATCTATTTATTTTCTCCGTTCTGTTTATATCTATCTATCTATCTATCTATCTATCTATCTATCTATCTGTGTCAGTCTGTTCATTTCTATCTCTTTATCTCCGTCTGTTTATATCTATCTATCTACCTATCTATTTATCTATCTATGTCAGTCTGTTTATTTCTATCTATGTCAGTCTGTTTCTGTCTATCTATCTATCTATTTATCTATCTATGTCAGTCTGTTCATTTCTATCTATGTCAGTCTGTTCATTTCTTTCTTTCTTTCTTTCTTTCTATCTATCTATCTATCTATCTATCTATCTATCTGTGTCAGTCTGTTCATTTCTATATATTTGTCTATTTATCTCCGTCTGTTTATATATATCTAGCTATCTATTTATCTATCCATGTCAGTCTGTTCATATCTATCTATCTATCTATCTATCTCAGTTTGTTCACATGTATGCATGTATCTATTTAGCTATATGTTCAAACCTTAGAAAACAAATCAATCTTGTTATTCTTTTTCTATGTGCCGTGTGTCCCTTCAGGGCGTGGTCGATTACGGCTCTTCACAAATTCATATTCTTTGGAGCTTTTAGAAATGTTTGTCTTTTTAATATAAACTGCGATTCTCTGATTTGCCATCCATTTACACAATCTCATTAGATAGGTCACGCGTAAATAACCTAGTGAAATGTATGAGCCCACCTCTTCTCCTCCCCATATATGGGTTAAATAGTAAGATATATCACAAAATCATTATTATCTTTAAAAAAAATCCTGCAATCTAAAAATAATTTTCTGGATTTAAATAACCTGAAAAGTGTTGATAAGCCGTAAATATCATTATGTATCTCAGTCTGATTCGTAAATATCATTATGATCTCTGTCTGATTCTAAGCATAAGAGTCCTTTTTTTTTTCTTGACAATTCCTTGTTGCTTACATGTTCCAACCATGGGATAGGGTGAATCTGAGAACAACACCAATTAAGAAGTGGTCCCATGCTCCACAAAACCTCCCAATCTATCTTTCTGCCGGATGTAGTTTATCGTCATACCCAGGACGAGCCAGGAATCACCTCTTAATTGGTGTTGTTCCCAGATTCACCCTATCCCAGGGTGGTAGCACCTGTTAGGGTCCCAGCTATGGGTAAATAGTAAACGCCAAAACTGGAGTCAAACATGAAAATATAAAAATAAATTAGATAAAAATTGCATCAATACTTTTGATAGTAAAAGCAAATTACCAGCCATACATTATTGAAAAGATTTACTAGCGTTATGGTCCGGTTCCTTGTACCACGGTGATAGTCCAAGGTAGAACCAATAAAGAAGAACTCGAACACGGATATGGAATAACACTGATATATTACAAACAGGAATATATACAGAGAAGTAGAAAGTGTTAGTACGAACAATCAGGTTTACTAGTTATTGTCTGAACGCAACTCCGTTCGGACTGCCTCTGACTCGACTGACTGATTCACTCGCTCTGACTGACTGACAGACTCCTGACGGACTACACTCCAGACTTCAGACTGAACAGTATTTAGTCACACTCCCACGAGGGCATCATGTGGCACAAGGCCGGTTTAACGTGGTATCTCCGAGCAAGGGGATCTCCGAGCCCGTGGGCTCGGCCAAAAATATGCCCGTCTAAACGGGTTCAGGGTCGGTTTACCTCCCCGAAAGAGACTCCGCCCTTCGGCTTAGTCTCGTTCGGATTCCTCCACGCCCGAAAGCAGAGAGTTCAACCGATCAGCCGGTCAGCCGGTCGTCCTACTTCAGACTGAACGGTATTTAGTCACCCTCCCCACGAGGGCATCATGTAGCACAAGGCTGGTTTAACGTAGGATCTCCGAGCCCGTGGGCTCGGCCAAAAATATACCCTTTGAACCCGTATAAACGGGTTCAGGGTCGGTTTACCTCCTCGACAGAGACTCCGCCCTTCGGCGCAGCCTCGTTCAAGTTCCTCCCCGCCCGAAGGCAGGGAGTTCAACCGATCAGCCGGTCGCCCGACTTCGGACAGAACCCCCTGCTTCCTCTTGAGGCGCAGTATTTATTACGTATGGAATAATCCATTATGTTATTATGGGTAAGGTCCCATATCAACTAGCAATACATTTCTTGAGGAATTAAATTACCAAAGCTCACAAGAGAACAAAACCAGTCTCGCAAGCCATTCTTAGTGAATTTGATATCGTAGTATTCCACCAAATGTTGACCTTGTGTCAGACTAAGTTATTCCCCTTTTACTTTCTTTTGTCCCTTCCTTATCCTTTTCCTTCTGTTTCTCACTTATTCTTTGTCCACGTCCTTCTTACTCCATTCATTCTCTCTCATTACTTTGTCGCTCCCCCTTTTTTTCTTTTTTTCTATTTCCACGTTCCTCGTTCACTCTCTCTCTCTCTCTCTCTCTCTCTCTCTCTCTCTCTCTTTGCCTCTATCTCTTGCTCTTTTTTTCTTTTTTATCTTCTATCCCTTCATTTTGCCCCCTCTTTTCTCTCTTTGCCCTTTTCTTTTCTCTCTTTTTCTTTTTTTATCTTCTATCCCTATCATTTTCGCCCCCCATCCTTTCTCTCTTTTTTTCTCTCTCTCTCCTCTCTCCCTTTCTCTCTATACTCATATTCTCTTTCTATCATTTTCTATCTATCTATCCCCTTTCCTATGTATCTATCGATCGTTTCTTCCCAGTCTTTTATCTCTTTCTGTCTATCTCTTTTATCTATCTTTATTCGATCCTCTATCTCCTTTTTTCCCAGTCTCTTCTTATCTATCCTCCTTCATTTCTCTCCCGGTCATTTCTTTCTATCTATCTATCCTTCATTATCCCTCTTTCATTTTCTCCTATCTATCTATCTATCCTTATCTATCTATCTATCTATCTATCTATCTATCTATCCTATCTAGTCTCTTCCTTATCTATCTATCTATCTATCTATCTATCTATCTATCTATCTATCTATCTATCATCTATCTATCCCGGTCTCTTTCTTATCTATCTATCTATCTATCTATCTATGTTTACCCATCTTCTGTAGTTCACTGTTTTATTCGTCCATTTTCTCTCCCTAAATTTCTGTCTATAATTTCTCCCTTTTTATCCTCTTCCTTAATCTTTTATCTCACATATATTCTCTCACTTTCTCTCTCATTTTTATCTTTCATTACTATCTATCTATCTATTTTTACTCGCCCCTTTCTCTAAAATTTCTCTTATTTATTCTCTTTCTCTCTGTCATTTCTTCCTCTTCTTTATGCTTCCTCTCTTTCTATCCTCTTTTCTTAGCTTTCTTTCCCATTTCCTCCCCTCACTCTCTCTCTCTCTTTCTCTCTCTCTTTCTCTTTCTATTTCCCTTGCATGTCGTTTCCTTCTTCACTCATCCTTTCCCTTCTTTTCTTTCTTTCCCTTCCTCGACCGTTGCATTTCATTTCTTCTCACACACGTTCTTGTCTCCCTCTCCTCTCTGTCTATGGTACTCTTTCTTTCTTTCTTTCTTTCTTTCTTTCTTTCTTTCTTTCTTTCTCCCTGTTACTCTCTTCGTATTTCTACACGTGTGCGATTACGTACTCTGTAGCTTTCCCGAAAATTAAAGAAATCATTTTATTTTTTTAATGGTAAAAATGAAAAATAGAAGGAATGAATAAGGGGGAAAAAAAGCCTGAAGAAAATTAATGAGATAACAAATGCCAAAAAATAAAACAAAAAAAAACCATACATTTGCGGGTGTGAAACGGGTGGACGGCCATTTTACGAGACGTGTGGCATTGGTGACTGTCCGATAAGAAAAAGTCACTCGAATAAAGAAAAAAAAATGAAAAAAAAAATGTCTCGCGCGCATAAATACAAGATTAACACGTTTTCTTTCTTTCTTTCTTTCTTTCTTTCTTTCTTTCTTTCTTTCTTTTCCTTTTTTTTTTCTTTTTTTCTTTCTTTTCTTCTTTCTAACGCGTCCGGCGTTAATCTTGTTGTCCACTCTTGGTTTGAGTGCAGTGAAATAAGTCATTTCGGTATTTTCTCTCCCACTCCTTACACACACACACACACACACACACACACACACACGCACGCACACACACACACACACACACACACACACACACACACACACACACACACACACACACATGCATACACATATGCACTCCTCATCACCTCGGTAGGGACACCGGATGGCTAGCTTCAAGTCGCGTCGACAATTAGCGAAATTTGCACCGTCTATTTATTCGCTTAATGCAACTGCAAGATGCAGACGCAGGTCATTTAACACCGGCTGATTTTCATAAGAATGGCATCGGTTTATGCAGGAATTGTCGCCCTTTCAGTTGTACGCGCAGCACACTCTGTTGCAGTTATGGGATATGACCCACACCTCGATGGATCTGTTACGAAAAAAAAAGACAAAAAAAAAAAAAGAAAAGAAAAAGAAAAGAACGGAGAATGAGTTAAGGGTAAAACGATCGGAGTGCAGAGGAAACGACATTAAATCTCAAGTGAAATCGAAACCCGCTTTCCATACGCCAATTCTATCCCCAACAAACGATCTTGAAATCCATAGGGCATATACACATATATAGATAATGACGTCATTATTTTCATTTATTTAATGATAATGATCATGATCATGATGATGGTGGTGGTGGTAGCACTAGCAACAAGGCTTGATGATTTAAGAAGTGATAGATAGATAGATAGATAGATAGATAGATAGATAGGAAGAGCCTGGTTTAGATAGATAGATAGATAGATAGATAGATAGATAGATAGATAGGAAGAGCCTGTCATAGATAGATAGATAGATAGATAGATAGATAGATAGATAGATAGAAGAGCCTGTCATAGATAGATAGATAGATAGATAGTTTAGATAGTTTAGATAGATAGATAGATAGATAGATAGATAGATAGATAGATAGATAGATAGATATGAACAGGTTCAGATGACGATGATGATGGAGGAGGTGGTAGCACTAACAACAAGGTTTGATGATTTAAAAAGTGATAGATCGATAGATAGATAGATAGATAGATAGATAGATAGATAGATAGGAACAGACTTAGATGATGATGATGATGATGATAGCAACAAGGTTTGATGATGATGAAGCAGTCACGTTATCCACGGAACGATATGTGTTTCTGTGACGACCGGCTAATGACTGCAACCGCGGATAGTATAGAACATGATTTTTGCCTCCACCTATATATACCTATAAAAATATCCAATTCATAATTTAGGCTCAATAAGAGACCATCAACGGTAACTAATAATAAAACAGAACAATTAGAATACTAATGTAATGGTCATGATAATGGCAATCATGCTATTAGCCGTTTCCTTATAAGGAAACATTAGGCATTTATTAGCTGAGCATGTTGAACTATTTTCGGTTGGAAATCCTAAAATCTTTCACATAAATTCCTTTTTTCAAGAAATAGGTTTCTTTAGCCCAGTAGTTGTTATATCTCTTTCCACTATTAATGGGAGTTTCCTTCCTAACCTTTTGTTTGAAGTAATGTGCAATGTCAACATCTTGATTATGTCATTGTTTTCTTTTCGAGTTATATGTGATGTCTATTTTAGCTGTTGCTGCAGTTGAAAGTCTTCAAATGATATGGTTTGTGTTCATTTCTACTCCAACAGTCTTTTTGCTCACGCTTCCCAGCTGTGAAACTCCCTTCCGATTTCTTGCTTCCCTGATAACTACAATCTTCAAAAACGTAAACGCAACGTCAATCGCCATCTTCTGCCTTCTTGAACCCTATTCTTTTTTTTTTGGCACTTTCCTCAATCCTCCCCATTTTGTAATTTTCTCATTCTCATTCACTTTCACACCCTGTAAATCCCTACGTTCTAGTGACATTGTCGCTTTGCTTGTTGTGAAAGGATTAACACACACACGCATATATATATATATATATATATATATATATATATATATATATATATATATATATATATATTGTGTATATTTAGGCAGCAATTTTTCATTGCATGTTTCATTAAATAATATAGACAAGTTTTGTCTATTTATTTTAAGTAAGTTCCTTTCATATTGTCTGATAAGCTTATTAACATTATCATTGAAAGACGAAAGGAAATCACCATATTGATACATGTTTAAATCCAATCTAAGCTTTCGGCTTACAAAAATCATTATCAAAGATGACAGTTACTTTTCAATATATCAAACAATACACGGACGAAACAATAATGATAGTCTGTTTTTGTTGCATGAAAAATTTCCAACCAACGACAAACTCGTGTATACGAGACGCGGAAGCGAAAATCGCGTCGCAGCTCATGACTT